AACCTGGAGGCTAAACCGTTGACCTTAGGTCAAATCTGAGGATATTGATCAGAAAGGCCTTTGAAAGAGCTATCGAATGCGCTTCCCCGTCGCATTGAAGCTCTATTGGTTCCCGACTTATGCGCCGATTTGTGAAAAGCTGTCAAATTTGAGAACAAAGGTTCGTGAAAATTTTTTCCTTTGGTGACCTCCAGTGACCTCAGCGATGACCTAATCAAAAATAAGTGTAATTCTGAAACATACGCAGCGAGAGCTATCTATTGCTTTTTACTGCGTCTTTCAAAATTGCTTACTTTCCGAGATGATCTGCAGTGTGGCCAAAAAGCCCCCTCCCCCCATGGCGAAGCTGGCTGAAAGGCCCACCCAGGCGAGGGCTAAAGAAAACATCCATAGTGTTGTCTTCCGTTGACTACATATTACTCTTTACGTCGATTTAGAGACAATATTTGGCAAATTGAGGAGGTCGTCGGTTTTACTGGGGACGGTCCCCAGTAACCCAAAAGCTACTGGGGCATTCCACGTCAAATCAAACACCGAAATCCGTCATCCCCTTCGATTTTTCTGAAAATTTGTAGGCAGACTGGGCATGGTTCAAAACTGAGTTACGTGTAATATTTTCGAAATTTGATAACGTATCGCCGAGATATAGGTCATCGAATATAGCCAAAAATGCCACACATCATTTTTTTAAATGCTTATAACTCTGGTTCCTTTTCTGGTATCAAAATGATATTAAGAGGGTCTTGTAGGCAATTGATAAGGCTTTGATTTTTAAATATAAAATTAAATTGAAGTGACCTTGAAATGCATTTGACCTTGAATTAAAACAGAAAAATTTAAATAGCAAAAAACACGCCACCTTCGATTTGAGTAATTTTTACATATTATGTCCGTCACAATGTTCCTAACCATCTGTGAAAAAATTGGAGTGGGCCATTCATAACTTTCGCGGCAAACGCCGTTTTCATGCATCAACATCACGCAACCGCGCGTGACCTTGAAAGACAGAGTCAAGACATGCTTGCTTGTGTACACTTTCTGAAATGAATGATTGCTGATTAGTGATATCCCAAACTCTGCGAGAATGGAAATGCATAGCCATCGTAGTCAAGCATTCACGTTCCATTGTAAAAGTGTCTCAGGCAAACGGTATTTTGCGGTGAATTTTGAGCCGTGTGGAAATGCATCATGAAATAAATTCAACGAAAACATTATCACGCAACGATATCTTCACGTCTTTTGATCTTCACTATACGAAAGAACATACATTTTTGAGTATGTATGGGGAATTTCTAGTTAATCCGATAATAAATATGGCAGTTAGAGTCCTGCTAAGAGTAACATGTCGCCGGCTGAGGCGGGATCGGCCGACGCGGGAAACGCAGCAGTCACAATTTTGTGTTTACACGTTCATATTTCAATTGTTTACCAACCTATTTTCAGAATTCTTTCACCATAAGATTGCCTGTACATTTCTTAGTCTTCTCACAAAATTTGACGCGAATCGAACGTATCAGCGGTAAGGAGCGCGATGTAAAGACGAAACCGTTCCGTTCCGTCCCGGCACAGCCTACAATTCAGGCGGCGCGTAGCGGTCGGCGCCGGCTGCCGAGTCGCCGCGTCGCCGCGGCGACAGGATGTTCACTTTACACCGCTATTACTAGAACAGTTGTGAACCGATTTTCTTATTGCTTGCACGATGAGATGTGCAATTCAATTCTGGACAGGTAACCATAAGTAATTTCGCATCAATATTATGAGATATTGGCGAAAAACAGGAGGGGTGGGGCGAAATTCACTCTTCCCCCTCCACTGCGCGTGCTAACATACGTTTTCATATGTGCCATTTTCTTCAAAACTTATGAATGGCCCACTCTAATTTTTTCACAGGTTGTTAAGAATATGGTAGGCAATAAAATATATGAAAATGAGCCAAATCGAAGGTGGCGTGTTTTTTGCTATTTCAATTTTTGTGCTTAAGAACAGAGTTAAGCTAATTTCAAGGTCATATATTTAAGTCGATGCAATTCTAAACAAATGCTTAAGAAATTACCTAAACAGTAAGGTTTATTTCATTCAAATCAAACAAGTACAACCAAAGTTATGGTCGTTCAAAAATATAAAGATGCAACATTTTGTAAAAATTTGATGCCCTATATTTAGAAGACCTGTGGTCAGAATGTGCAAAAAACATCAATGTAATGTCCGGGGCGACACAGGATCTCGCTCACAAATTTATAATGAAATCGCTGATGGTAAGGTGCAAAACAGCCGATTTTTGTTCGATTTGACGTGGAATGCCCCTACTGGGGACCGGTCCCCAGTGTCCCCAGTGGTGGTTACGCGCCTGCAAAGGTGCACTTCTAAGATAATCTTATACCTATAGGTGCTCCAACACTAAGTTTAGCAACGCTTGTTGCAGTCTAGTGGGGGCACCATTATACGCAGCTGGGTGCGCTTCTGGCCAGACGACCCCCGCCCACGCGCCGCTGGGTGCGCCGCTGGCCGGCGGTGCCACGTCGCCCATAATCAGGCCCCCCGCGCGGCACACGGCCGCCCCCAGCTGAGTTCCGTGACGGGGGGTGCGAGCGGAGCTACGGGGGAGAGACAGCAGCAATCTGATGTCACCGCCCGGCCGCCCAGCCAGTGGCTAAGAAAATACCGGAGACGGCGTCGGGTCACTACAATATCGTTGAATCCGCCTCAGAATCTGAATGTGGCTCAGACAAGCCAGCAACGTCTTCTTTTGATCTGCAAATCAATGCCTGAATATAAAAAGACTTCACGTGTGTCCGATGTCTCCCCGTCATATATCGGTAGCCGAAGCCAGCACATGACGCCGAAGCCAGTACATATAGGGTATATGACCACATGCCCTATTAAACATGTACTATCTAGCATAGAACGACAGCCTATTTGTAGTATGGGCTGTCGTTTGACCCATTCTATCTCCTTTTATCATTTTCTTCAGTGGTTAACTTCCGAGCGGCGATGTTCGAGCGTCGACAAATGAGCGTGGCCGGGCCGCGGCGCCGACACAAAGTTGGCTCCTGCGCTGCTTCGGTCACATCCCCGCGACAGACGGGAGACGAGAGACGACAGACGACTGACGGACGTCAGGGGGAGGCGCTGACGAGCCGTCAGCCACGCCCCGTCGCAGCGCTGATCAAACCGACCTGCCGCCGGCCAGCCGAACCGACCGATCTGCCGACGATCTGCGTGGGGAAAATGTGACGACGCTCTAGTCTGAGATATATGAGTCAGTGACGATTCCAGGTCAGCCAGACAGAAGCGGAGCGGCCGTGAATCCGTGCAGGCGAAGCAATGAGGTGGGGACAGGAAAACGGGAGCAGCCAGCGAGGCGATTCGTCCGGACATAGCAACAGATTAATGCCGGACCGTTTAGATCTCAGCCAGCCGGACACTCCAGCTCTTCTGACAGTGCTATCACGCTACGGGTTTTCCTTGGCAGAGGTGGGCGGCTGGTTCAGTTCAGAGAGTGGATAGGAACGTTCCGGCCAGGCTCATCAATATCAATGTCCCGGGAGACCGCTCGAAGGACCGGGCTCGCCCTGCCAACCACGTGAAACCACGTGCAAAGCACGGGATGGTGTAATGTTTATTCAGGTGGTTCTTACCATGGCTATAAGTGTTCTCTACATCAAGTTTGCGTGAAAATGAATGGTATAGCTTTCTATTCGATTTAAATTGGAACGTAATTTAAACCCGAAAACAGACGTTCCTCTAATGCAAAAAATAAAATGTTTTGAGGTCGTGAAACCAAATGCTAAGAAGAACCGGATAGTGCTAATTTATGACCGCCCTAGTCACTTAGTTAGTTCCATTCGTTCACAGTCACACACAATGCAAAGACCAAATTAAGCGTGTATAACCAGTGCCACCCACTACAGTCTGATTAGTGTCCCGTTAGCCACTCCGTCACACCCAGCCCCCTACCGACTCAGAGGGCAGCTCTTCCGCCACCCAGAGGCGGGGCGCCGGGCGGGGCGCTGGGCGGGGCGCGCTGGCACGCCGCACGCACCGGACCCCGTGCGGCGCCCGACATTGCCCGGCACATACATCATCCTATGGTTTTCCAGCCGGCGCGGAGCGCCGGGTGGTGCCGGAGGATAACACTGAATGGCGGACCCGCGGTCTCCGACAGAGCAGCCCTCTGATGGACAAACTCTCAAACTGACCAGACCAGCTCTCAAGCTGACCAGCTCTCAAGCTGACCAGCTCTTCGGTCGACCAGCCGTTGGACATGCTCTCAGGCGCCGCGGTGTCTGTCATTGGCGCTCAGAGGCGCTGGGATTGATACCGTGTTTTACGGCAGAACGGTGTTGCTGACATGAGACCTCACTGCAGTACTGGCAGTGCTATGTGGTGGTCTGTCAGTTGTCACCTATCTCAATGGAGAGTGGCGGCAGTCGCTCTGTCAGCGAGGATGCGACAGAATAACTCAGCACGAGCTTTGCCACTGGAAGGTAGCTAGGCGAGCAATTAGAAACAATACAAAACGCGCACTGTACAGAGTCGAGTGGGCGGTGTGCAATTGCATGCACACACGTAACGTTTACTGAGTACTGAAGCCGCGCGACACTCTTCCACGTGTTTAACGCCCATATCACGAATGAATCAGCCCTCATATTGCGTCATCGACGGCTGATATCGACGAGTACGATCAGAATCCACCCTGTCGTCTACCGTCTACCGTCCATCGTCTATACCGTCTATCGTCTCGAGCGGCCAGGTCGAACACCAACACGCGTGTGTTGACCGGTCAAACCTCCTACCCGCCACACCACAGCGGCGCGCCGGGCCGACGCACATTTAAACTCGTTAAAATGTAATACATCTCCATATCTGCCGTTGAACGGGACACCCCGGCTCGCCGGCGGGCCGGGGGGTCGCCTCCCGCAGACGGGCGAGCACGCGGCGGGGGGTGCCACCTCAGCGGTCGGCGGACTCGACACACACACCAGACAGACGGTATTCCGACACGGAGGGATCCAGTGGGTGGTTAGAGACGGGGTGGCACGGTGTGGAGGGTAGGACAGGTGTAGGAAGGTGCGACGGTGCCATGGAGGACGACAGACGGCAGGAGGAGCCCAACGAGCGCTACCGCTGCGGGTGAGTGATCGGCGCCGCGGCCGACGAAAGGGGCAGGGGGGGGGGGTGTACCGCCGCGGCCGACAAAAGGGGGCAGGATGGTGGACCGACAAACGGACGGGACGGATGGACCGACGGATGGCCTGGACAGAATGACGAGAGAACAGACGGACAGATGAACGAAGGGGACGGGAGTACCGGCCCGGACAGACGGACGGGACGGATGAACGGGGCGATGTCGCGAATGGTTTGGACGGGACATGGTAACAGGGCGCAATCAGCGGAGGGAGACGTGTTTATTGTAAATACGTATGCCTGTGCAGTGTGCAGTGTGCAACTATTCTTTTACCACACAGTGATACCTTCATTCTGACAACCACGAGTAGGTGCTTAGAGTAGGTGCTTACAAGCGTACTTCCGTCCTAAGTTTCTGAGGTTTAGGCCGTGCCAACACTCGTAAATCGTCGGTCAGACGCGTTCAATCGCTTCTGTTTGTGTAAAACTGTCGGCCGAGATTGGTCGGCGTGGCTTCATAGTTCATGACTCAGTGTCAGTTATAAACTCGCCAGATGAAAGCAGGGTTATTAATATGCTCTCACAGCTGCGGTGAGATAACGGCGCTGAACTTGGCAGAGAGGGTTGCCACTCCCCGGTCGTGGTCGGTTGTAAGGTGTCGCGTGGCGGATATGTCCGTTTATCCATTACCGTTAACAAGTGACCCTGCGAAATTGATGCAATACATATAAAAACATAATGCAAAGTAGGCGCCTAGAACCTTTCAATGGAGAAGGCCGTATTTTGTCTAATGGAACTATAAAATAGAATATCTAATATTATAAAAACAAAAGACGTCAATTAACGTATTCTAAGTTTGTCGACAGTGGTGTTTGTCCTGTTTGCCGGGCAGTGTTTGTTGGTCCTTCCGTGCCGAACGGCTGGTGTTTGTCCTATACTGCCGGTCAGTGCCGTTTGCCACCTATTCTGACGGTTGGTGTTTGTCGTCAGCTGGGAGGGCTGCCAGCAGCAGCTGGCCTCGCAGCAGCAGCTGGTGGTGCACGTGACGTCACAGCACGTGCAGCTGGCCAGCAGCACGTACCGGTGTCTGTGGCGCGGCTGCTCCCGCCGCCGGCAGGGCTTCAACGCCAGGTAAACTCACTGCTAGGTTTATCACACACAGCAGTGTAGAGAAGAGACGCCAACATTTATCAGTCATGAAGCGATTTCGCGACCACGACACTAAAAAAAAATCATTTCAGACGTCGAATTAAAACTTTGTCGCCCGTCTCCTAAAACCGTTGTGCCGTAAAGTCGGAAAGCGGAATACAAAAATGCTCCTATAGTGAGACAATTACTTCAACGATGAATTCAAGATGAGCCTAAAATAGTTCGAACAATTGGCTGATATGATTGTGGTTTCAGGTACAAAATGTTTGTGCACATCCGGACACACACCAAAGAGCGTCCTCACGTGTGCCCGGACTGCGGGAAGGGCTTCAGCAGACAGGAGAATCTCAAGATCCACAAGCGATCACACACAGGTAAGGAAAATTGACACTCAGTGGCGCACCCAAGGGGGGGGGGCCTTGGGGCCCGGCCCCCCCCCCCCCCGCTCGGTCATAATTAGGAGGCCCCCTGAGCACCGCTTAGGGTACTTTTACACTTGACTTTCCTGCCTAACCTACTATAATTCTGCACAAGATGCACTATCTGGGCAGAGGCCAGGAGGCCCCCTCTGGTAGGCGACCCTTGATGGGCAGGAGGCCCCTTCTGGATGTGAGGCACCTTCTCACAGGAGGCCCTATCTGGGCAGGAATCAAGAGGCCCCCTCTGGCAGGAGATCCTTCATGGGCAGGAGGCCCCCGAGGCTCCCTCTGCACAGGAGGCCCCCTCTGGTAAGCGACCCTTGATGGGCAGGAGGCCCCGTCTGGCAGGGGACCTTTTATGCACAGGAGGCCCCTTCTGGATTTGAGGCACCTCTCACAAGAGGCCCTATCTGGGCAGGAATCAAGAGGCCCCCTCTGGCAGGAGATCATTCATGAGCAGGAGGCCCCCGAGGCTCGCTCTTCACAGGAGGCCCTTTCTGGACAGGAGCAGGAGGCCCCCTCTGGCAGGAAAGCCTTTATAGGCAGGAGGCCCCTCTGGCAGGACACCTTTTCTGCTTAGTAGGCCCCTTCTGCATGGGAGGCTCCCTTCTGCACAGATGGCCCTATCTGGGTGGGAGCCAGGAGGCCCCCTCTGGCAGGAAATCTTATACTGGACAGGAGGCCCCCTCTGGCAGGAAATCTTATACTGGGCAGGAGGCCCCGAGGTTTCCTCTACTTAGGGGCCCTTTCTGGGCCGGAGTCAGGGGGCCCCTCTGGCCTCTTGCAGGAGACCCTTTCTGGGCAGGAGGCCCTCTCTGGATGGGAGTCTCTCTCTGCATAAGAGGACATATCTTGGCAGCAGTCAGGAGGCCCCCTCTGCACAAAATGTCCTATCTGGGTAGGAGCCAGGAGGCCCCCTCTGGCAGGAGATCCTATATGGGCAGGAGGCCCCGAGACTCCCTCTGCACAGGAGGCCCTTTGTGGGCAGGAGCCAGGAGGCCCCCTCTGGCAGGAGACCCTTTATGGGCAGGAGTCCCCTCTGGCAGAGGACCTTTTATGCTTAGGAGGCCCCTTCTGGATGGGACGCTCCCTTCTGCACAGAGGGCCCTATCTAGGCAGGAGCCAGGAGGCCCCATCTGGCAGGAGCTCCTTTATGGGCAGGAGACCCCGAGGCTTCCTCTGCACAGGGGCCCTTTCTGGGCAGGAGTCAGGAGGCCCCTCTGGCCTCTTGAACGAGACCCTTTATGCCCTCTCCTGATGGAAGGCTCCCTCTGCACAAGAGGCCCCTTCTGGCAGGACTCTCTCTGGATCCCCTCTGGAAGGAGACCGTCTCTGGGAAAGAGGCCATCTCTGGATAGGAGGCCCCTCTTCACAAGAGGTCCTATCCGGGCAGCGCCTCGCCCTGGCAGGGCATTTTTCATAACGCGGCCTGGCAGAGGGGGGGGGGGGTCGATGCGACCCCCCTCGCGATTGGATCCTATGGCACCTAGAAATACCAAATTTGGTAGGTAGGTGGCCCTCTTAAAATCCTCGTCCCTGTGCAAATTTGGTTGCTCTAGGTCAATATTTAGGGGTTTTTGGGAGGTATAATTGTAAAAAAATTTGCTAAAACAGGTCAAAAGTTTTCGCTGATAACTTTTGATTTAATTAACCCGCGCCGGGCAGGTGCTCCGCGACTTCCGCGCCGGGCCGGGGGGGGGGGGGTGTCTGAAAACCCCCCTTCTAACTCGGCTCCTGGGTCACGTAGCGACACGCGGTAAGCGGCATTCAAAAGAGCGTCCAAAATAAGTACGAAAACACTTCAGTCATTTTTTGGGTCAGGTCAAAGGTCAGGTTACCAGAGGTCACCAAAGGTAAAATGTTGGCTATTTCAACATTTTGGAAACTGCCAACGGCTAACTCGGGAACCGATAGAGCTACAGCGCCGCGGAAAAGCGCATTCGATAGCTCTTTTGACGCTCTTTCGCCAATATGTCCTCAGATTTGACCTCAGGTCAACGGTTTAGCCTCCAGAGGGCAAAAACTCCAAAAATAGCCGTTTTTTACGAACAGTGTTTTTCGGCAATAACTTCTGACTCAAAAAAGCCACGACATTACTTTTGCCAGAATCGTGTTCCTCTTGTCAAAACGCGTCGAATGAACTATAAGTTGACCTTGAAAAGTCAACTTAAAAATTTGACCTCAGGACCTGACCGGAAAAGGTCATGTTGCATATCAGTCGATCCGCATCGTCGAGCCGAACACATCTAAGGCGTTTTCATCGCTCTATCATGCCTCTATCAGAAGTTATTAGCAAAAAACTGTTAGATACTATTCGTGACCTGAGATGACCTCGGGGACATCTCAGAACGAGGGGTCACACTCCGGGTCACAGGTGCAATTTTCGGGTTCAGTGTGTCCATTTTACCTACATCCCGATGTTTGAGAGTGTCTAGAATGGCGTTCGTGCAAAACAGACGCCTTTCAATTTTCTCCCATTGAATTATAATAGAGAGGCCGCAAAATTGACCTGACCTTAGGTCACCGATATCGAAATTCCGAGATACACGTTTAATAGGTTTTTATACACGCTTTTATAGGATACACGAGATACACTGTTACTCTCATCAATCGCTGAAAGTTTCAAGGCAATCGTGCGGTCGGTGTAGCCATGACGAACATTCTAATTTGTTTCTGACCTGACCTTGAGAGACCTGGGTCTGAAATTTTCACAGCATGTGCGGAAAAGATGCACGAACAGGTGTGTTAAAAACGGCGGCGCGGAGCTGCGAAAAGCCGCCGGGGGGGGGGGGGGTGTTCAAACACCCCCCGGCCCGGCGCGGGTTAAGATAGAGCAAAACAAAAGCACTAGTGAACTCAGCACGTCAAGGCGTGTCGAATGATATACTTTTTTTGTTTGCTTAAGTGTACTTAAAAGTGTAGGTATTAAAGTGTACTTAAGTGCACAACTTAAGTAAAACTTAAGTCTTAGGAATGGTTGAAATGCTTAATGTTGCATATCATTCGACTCAGCTGTTCAAGAGGAACAGAATGATACCATTTTGAAACCTGTTCTATTACCTATGTGACAAGTTATCGGCACAAACGTCATTTGACCTGAGTTGACCTCATTTGACCTGAACCTTAGATAAGTACACCAAACAAAGAAACACCGAGTGACATTATGTTAAGTACTGTGGTATCAAAGAACAAAAGGGATACAACGAAGCGGACATCTCTATATTTTCCGAATAGGAGTTATTTGAATATTTTCCCATAGGCTTAACATTACGACGTAATGACCCCTAACTGACCTCAGGTCAGTGACATAAAAAACGAACTACATATTATACAGCTCGGTGAACTTAGCACATCCTGAAAGTTTGAAGGAAATCAGTCCAAAACTGTGCGTTGGACAGGTACATAAAAAATTAAATTTGACCATAACCTTGTACCCGTTTTTCTGACATGGTGGCCTGACCCAAGGTCGACCGGACCTGAAATTTGCAGATCACATGAAAAAAGGTTGCCCCATAGGTTGTGCCAAATTTAGCGGCGTTGCGCGCCGCCAATTTTACGCTATCTTTGAAAAACCTTAGGGGGGGTCGCATCGACCCCCCTGCCAGGGTGAGGGTTAAGCTTTACTAATAACGCTAAGAACGTCACCAAACATACAGAGGCCGTCAAAAAGTAAGCCATTTGGAGGCCCCCTCGATAGAGAAAAGGCCCCCTGGCAAGCGGAACACGGAGGCCCCTTTGAGCCCGGGCCCCCTCCCCTGGAAAATCCTGGGTGCGCCCCTGAAGATATTACAGGGTTATTTCTTACCAGTTACCAAACGCTTTTTAGCCACGTGGCGTCACCGCCCGCCGGAAAAGTACCTTTTGGTTACGAATTGATCCTAAGCATGTAAGTAAAAGATCGTACCATAGACCTCTGTACCTACACCTGGTATACAGAGGTCTATGATCGTACCTATTTCATACGATCGGCGAGCTTCATTAGCCTTACTCTAGTGTCTTCACTCCGCTACACCAATGAAGGCGTAACTGGTGATATAAACGGTTAGGTACTGGAGCAAAAGTCGGTCTTCCTCACACTCACTGTCCCATTCGCCCGGAGTGTGACGTTTAAATCAGTATAAATGTCTTTTATAAGTAGACGGACGTCATCCCGGTTCGACAGGTGTTGAGTGTCTGTCACTATGTCCGGTGACGCCATTTGGCCGACGTGTAGTTCGATGGCTCGGTCAATATTGCATCAGGGCCGGCCATTCACGTGCACAGTGTCCCGAGCTGGCGTGGGGCCAGCGGCTGCCGGGACTGTCACAGGGGGGTCTGAGGCTCCGACACTCATCCCCCTCCACACACACACCACATACTGCCCCATACCCTGAGCGACCACATACAGTCACTGGCAGAATATCGACAGTTCCTGTGGGATGGAGACACCAGACTTTAGGGCCGATCAAAACCTGATAGCCGCTGCGGTTTTTCGAGTTACGACGATTACGCTACAACACGCGGTCAGCGCTCAATTACTAAGACGGTCAGTCATGGGAGGTCTAACAGTCAAATGCCACAGCTAGTGCCCGTGTAGTTTGATCCCGATGTCTCGGTAAAACAGTAAGACACGAGAATGGAGTAATCCATAATGATTGCAATTGTCTGACACCTGCACCTAACTCTTTTTCCAGGGGAGAAGCCCTACGCCTGCACATTCGAAGGCTGTGACCGAGCCTACTCCAACTCGTCGGACCGATTCAAGCACACGCGCACCCACTACGTGGACAGGCCGTACAGCTGCCGCCATCCCGGATGCTCCAAGAGCTACACGGACCCGAGCTCACTGCGGAAACACATGAAGGCCAACGGACACGGCCGGCCCAGCTCGCCGGCTGCCACACCGCCGCCTGGCGGCCGGCCAGAGAAGCTCAGCCGCGTTCCTCGGCCGCTGGCGGCGCTGAAGTCGGAGACGGCCGCTGCGGCGGACGTCCCCACGGCTGTGGCGCCGAGGCTGCCAGGCGTGTCTCCAGTCTCTGTGTCAGCGGTGTCAGGAGTGCCAGCCGTGTCAGGGGTGTCAGGGATGGTCCCGCCCGCCCCGGTTCGGACAGAGTGCGGCAGCTGCGCGTGCGGCCGGGGAGCGGCGCCGGTCGGCTGGGACGGGTGGCTCTGGTACCCCTGGATGCAACAGATGGGTCAGCTGTGGGCCGGATGTCCGACCACAGTGTTTGACGGCTCTGGCACAGCGGGTGGTGCAGCGGGGGTTAGCTCTGTCCCCCTGGCCAGTCAGCCGACCACCAGTCCCGCTCCACTCGATCTCAGGGTTCCACCAAGCTGAGCGAAGGGCAGTGGGGCGACTGACAACAAATACCTACCAAATAGGGATGCGAGGAGCGCCAGTTGTATGATTCGTTGGACCTATCCGTGCTTCTATCCTCAGGATACTGAAATCCTTCTCCTCCACGCCGCAACCCCCCTCCGGGCTGGACAGGCAACTTTATCTCATGCGGGCTGCTCCCTTGGAGCGGCACCGCTGCTCCTGAGGGAGCTGCACCCCGTAGCCGGGTGCAGAGAGTGCTTGGGGGGCTGGTCGGCTTGTCTATTTGGACGGGCTCAGCCCCGGCGACTCTCTAGGGTGCCTGCCCAGACCAATGTCTCCCCCTAATTCCTATCATCCTTCCGGCTCTGCAATGGTCTTGTCGACCGAAAGGGCCTAACCCAACAAAATTTAAATTTATGATTCGTTTTTGTGTTGTTGCTGTTCAGACTTGTAGATTGTTTGTCTCATTCCACCATTCGCCCTTTGCCTTTTAGGGGCGTGGAACTGGTCAATGGTGTTTTTAACGTTGGGAAGCCCGGTGTTTTCCGAACGCATGCTAAGAGATTGAGTGATAGTCCTCGACAACTTTGTATTTTAGAGTCTTTTATAATGAGTTCGCAATAAAATGCTACTGTTAATCCTTTTTGGATGTACACGTATTACGAAACAACTAGAAAAAATAACTATATGCAATTAACTAAGCATATTCGCCAAAGAATCCAGCTGACTATAATTTAAGCCGGATCAATCCTGCACTCTTTATACTCGTATTTATACGTTGAAGTGACGAAAGAACGCCAGTAAATCGCGCATTCAATCGCCTAACATTTAGCCAAGGAGCAGCACCAGCCAACCACCCTCGATGAATCGAAACAATTCGCCCACTACCTGTCAACGGGCAGCGAGCGACGGGCTTGCATTTATCTTCCAACTAGTTATGACACGGATTTTTTCACACCTTTATTACGTGAAGAGTCACAAGTTCAACACCAACTAGAACTCGAATTAACCATGCAATGACTTCTGCGACCCCGCACAATACGACCAGACCACCTCGTTTTAAGCATCGAACACTGGCTACCACAAGTGACACAGACAGTCGTCCTATCAATAAAACTATTACAGAGACGTTTGACGAGTTTGTTGGTGCTACATTAACATTAGCAAACATTTCATATTGTAAGCACACTGGTGTACGTACATAACTACCGAACGAACGGTTCATAATTTCATTACGTTTTATTGCCATCTCGAAAAAGCAATAAGCCTTCTCCCAGCCGTCCAATAACCGCCCGCCCCTCGATAAATGATAGAGCTGAAATTAAAACGACAAATCGAACGGGACATTGAACGGTCTCACAGCAGCCACATCAGAACACATACGGTATCATCCTGTAGGGCACCTGCCGACAGTACTTCTTCCACGCCTTGCCGTACTTATTGCTGCACTTCTCCTCGTCCCTGAAGACACGATGCACGAGCAGAACGGTCAGAAACAAGACATACAGGAACGGCCACACGCCGTGACCCAGACCGGGCAGACACCAGCAGAACGCTGCCAGGATCTCGAACACGTAGTTGAGGTGTCTGGCGACGCCCCAGCAGCCGCTGGTCAGCAGCTTTGTGGTGCGCCGGCCCTGCGCCGTCACATACTCGGCGTCTATGTACTCGGCCGGCCGGCCCCAGAGGCGGCACCGGCCGCCCGACTCCCGGAACCGCTGCTTCTCCAGGTCACAGCGGTAGTTGAGAGCGATGGCGAGCAGTCCGGCTGCCAGCACGAACGCCGACTGGCCGTCACTGAGCAGAGGACGCTGCCGGGTCAGGAAGAACGCCGCGTACGTGTAGAAGCACGGCACCCAGACCATGCAGCCCCAGCAGAGGTAGTACCCGGCGCGGTCCAGTGTGATGTCCAGCGTGCTGAAGTAGCCCGTCTCCCACCAGAAGAACTTGGCGATGTAGACAGTCTGCAGGGCGGCGCACACCACGTGGCCGCTGGAGAGGCCGTGCAGCCGAGCGCCGGCCACGCAGAACACTAGCACCAGAAGCTGCCAGAGCATCATCCCCACGCGGCAGTTGGTCAGCTGCTTGACGTCCACTCCGAGCAGGTGAGGGTGGAGCTCCATGCCGCGGTAGAACTCGTGTGGCAGCGGCTTGGGCTCGATCTCCTCAGAGGACTGGGGTGCCACCTTACCGCGTATCAGCAGGAAGGTGCACAGAACCAGGGCGGTGACGTTGAGCGCCGCCAGGATCGCCGACATGTTGGAGTAGATGGTGACCGAGACGCCCGGCATCAGCCACGTCTCCAGCAGGACGAACAGCAGCAGCGTGCAGACGTAGTAGAGCATGCCGTTGGCGCGGTACGGCGGGGTCTGGCCAAAGTGTGTCGTCGGCCCGTGGTGCACCGGGCCCGGAAGGACCAGGAACAGCCAGGCCCATACCAGCGTCACCGCCGTGAACGCCCACGCGAACTGCGAGCCGAAGAGCGCACTCCATCCGAGCGGCCGCGGGTCGCCCAGCTGGGTCAGCACCTGCACAACGGGCGTGAAGAACAGCAGGAACAGCGGAGGGATGACGTGGTAGTGTAGCAGCTCACCCAGAGCCATAACTGCGCCTCACCCGGGCCAGTCCTGTAATGGAGAGCAGACGACCGGTTAGCAGGGAACGCCACGGCGGCTCAATGGCACCGCCGCTCGCCCTGGATAGAAAAGGTAATTCCCGATTTACCAGAAATGTTCGTGAAATAGTTCATTCACGTGGAAGGCGATCAGTGGTGGAATGCACTGTTTTAATCATCCCATAGGCCCCAGCGCTGGCACGGGCTTCACTGCTATACGTTATATAACCGTCCACGTCCCATACGGAAATCTATCAAAACACCTATCGCAAACGACTCTTATCGGTCGGAATTGTCATCTTGAAATACCCTTAACCCTCGCCGGACCTATTGGTTTTGCTATACATACGTCCCGGCCGAGGGGAGGGGGTATGTATGTATGACCCCACCGCTTTCAATTTTACTATCAGGTTGACTCGAGACACGACCTTCTGTTCGAAGGGGCGGCAGTCTCGTATCATTTATTATTTCAAACACTAAATTTCCCTACCCAGGAACATCACGCCACCCACCCACGCAGCGCAGGCATTGATCACGCCAGTCCGATCGCTCGAAGCGCCTAGTGGGCGGAAGTACGGTTACGCTATGATCACCGTGCAACCCATCCTGGGTACGGCCTGGTGGGCACTCGGTCAGTGACCCGGTGCACACTTTCACCCTCGCACGAGCCGAGTTCAACGTCCTCAGCAGCTGAGCGGCGCGCTCGGCCTATGGAAGGGGCCTCTCAGGCGTCTGCTTCCGCTCCAAGTGGTCGTAAAACCTCTGATTGCATGTTGCGGCCATTCATTCGTGACTATATCTCTAGTGAAAAGAGGGTGAAACTAGAATTTTGAAAACAGAGAAAAAGGTTCAGAATCTTATAAGTCAGATGGGCCAGGTTCTCAAGATATTGGTAAAAATGTAGGTAGCATACCTACTATTTTATTTGATATCCAGGGACAGCGGGCAAGATATTTCTATTTAAGTTATAAAATGTATGACAGACCTACCCACTACCAGGGTGCTGGTCCGATTGTAACGCAACGATAGGGGAGAGCGGGGAGAGTTGTATCATGTCCAAGTTGTATCAGGGCGAATTGTGCCAAACTTATCCAATAGATAGCGCTCGTGACACGACCATCCGACGAGGTTTTCCGGGCGCCATCTTTGCCTGTTCTGTCGTGTGGCTGGGTAGACGCGTCTCGAGGTGAGAGCCGATTTTATGTTTTTTTAATGTCATTCTAAAAAAATGAGTTGCAAGAAAATGTGTGTTTTGGGCATTTAGATGTGCACGAATTTGAAAGATCTCCGTAGCGGTGGTGAGGGTAGGTTCTAAGGCTGCGTTAGTGAAAATGGATTTCTCCAGCTGTCCGCTGTTTTTGAGCACGAGGATGTTTTTTCCAAGATGGCGGCGAGGTACATGTTGTATCAGAGCCGGGTGGGGTATGTTGTAACATGTATGCATGTATGGGTATGTTGCTTTTGATCGCGAAAGCTAAGCCCAGTCTCGCGTTTGTAGGTAGCTAGTCAATACTCGTTCCATTTTGGCACAATGTGTTGGCTTCTTTGCTCTTAACGGGTCACTTTTGCATCTAGTCTGTTGATGTTTCGTTCGTTTCGATGTTTCGTTCGGATTGCATTGACCTAAGTTTGGTCTAATAAAAGTGAAGCCTTTGAGCATATACATTGTATTAACCCCATTTAATGTTGTTGTTATGTTCAAAACCAGTAGCAAGCACACTCCCTGAAACGTGAAATACCTAGTGATACAAATTACCCCACCATGTGATACAACTCACCCAAGCCATGGGGCAAGTTGTATCAAAAACATTGTTCTGTTCGGCAGACCGTAGAAGAAAAACTGGTAGAGGTAAAGGAAAAGTTACTTTGCACAAAAAAGCAGAAGAATCAAGGAAGGAGATAGTATGGAAATAATAAGTTTATCACGGATAGTTACGAGGTTATGGGTCTCGGAGTAAAAACTGATACAACCCACCCCACTCTCCCCTAATTCTTATTGCTACTCCCCCTCTCACTCGGCGGCCACGCATCGCCAAGCTGAAGCGGCACACGGAGATGGAAAACAAATCGTCCAGGATCCCGAATAAATTAGGTGACTAACGCTAATTTTGCAGGTCAGATAAAAGGCCAGAGTTTTCCGCTCTCTTGACATATCATTCGGCACCTATTCAATCTAATAAGGAAGCAAAAAGGCAAAACAATCTACATTTCAATCGAAAGGTTCTAAGTTCAAACTAGTAAACATCTAGTAAACCATCTAGTAAACAACTACCTACTAGAATTTGTCAGGTACCAAACGGATCAATTGGATCAAATAGGTGCCCAACCTTTCATTGTACTCGTATAATAGGCTACTACAGTCGGATTTTTTTTCAGCCTGTCGAATCACTTCCACCCTCGCCGAACCATTGATTTTCTACATACCTATACGTCCCAGCCGAAGGGGGCATACCCCCCAACACCCTTCCTCGCCGTTTCGCCCCTTTTTGAGCTAGACCTCGCGGAAAACAACGAGCGTGTGCGCCGTTACGAGACACAGCGACTGATACCCGACTTTAAGATTTCAGGTCAACCGGTGGCCTCTAAGTTCAGGTCAAGTGACCCAAGGTACGGGTTCGGTTTTTGGTAAATAAATTGGCCAAAAATTGTCGTAGCGTCGTGCCATTCGCACCATCGTGTTTTTTATATAGTTCGTTACCCATGATCAGGCAACCAGGAGTGCCCCCACCCTCAGTCCCAGCGACGCACAGAGCCCTTACGTTAACACCAAAATCAAAATCAAAGTTGAAAAAGTCGCGGCACTCCCTACTAAGAAGAGGAAAAAAACATAAAAGAAACAGAATTGACTACGTATGATATTATTTAACTTGATTAGTAGATACAGAGAGCCATAGTAGTTAATGCCAAATCCAGCATAAACTGTCCGCTAAGGGTTCAATCGTACATTGTTAGTGAGGAACACGCACACACTCACTTGGAAGAGGACATAAGTGGGGTAAATCAGGTCTGGTCTAATTCATGCATATTGTCTTGCCATCCCTCCCGATGCCCTCCAGCTAAGCCGAGCTTGTTGCAAGAGAGTCATCAGGAGAGATGGGGCCTGATATGGTGATTAGTGCGAGCAAACATTTCCATGCCAAGGCTCGTCGAATGGTATGCTTTTTGTTTAGGTGAGGTCAGGTTACAGTGTTGACTTGACCGCAGGTCAAGGTCAGGGCAGAACCACTAAGGTCATGAAGCTGCTCAAAGGAGGTCGTGTCGCACATCATTCGATTCGGTAGGTATTGCCGAGTCCGTTGCTGGCTTTTCCGACTCACTAGCTCAATTTAATCGGGAGTTGTTGACAAAAAAAAACTCCCATGACCTTAGTGACGTCATCAGACAAGGTCAACGACGTAAAAGTAAAACATTCGGCCTAGGAAGGAGTGCATGAAATTACGATTCAATGTGCTTGAGGTAGTTTTAGATCATGTCCGGCACCCAAATAACAGTTTCCTTTGAATTAAACCTAATGGTGAGGTCACGTGACCGACCTGACCTCAGGTAACCTTCAGGAAGAATCCGCGATACCAAAGCTATGAGACGTCTGGAGGATGCTGGGCTCTGTAAGTTTCATCTCCCTGTGAAAAAAGCCGTTCTCGAGATCTGGAAGCTGCTAACCGCAACGCATGGGAATGCATTGCCTGGTGGGTGCCTACCTGTATGCCAAGTTCAGCGAAATCGCCCCAGTAATTACAGAGTTATTGAAATGGGAACAAATTTGGCACCTCTTCTTTTTGTATTTTGCACGTGCACTGGGGGTCACTCACATAGTTAGATCAAGAGTATTCGACCTTTGGTAGAAGGGATGCAGCTACCCTACAAAATTTACCGCGAGACAATCGCCCAAGCGGCTGCTGAGATATGAGCCTCTCAAAATCACTTCTTTTGTAAAACAGCCTGAACACCCTTGACTTTTCACGTGGCACGTGCCACGACGGTCACTGAGTTGCATCAAAAGTAGTCAATTACGGGGTAGAAGGGATGGGGCTACCCAGTAAAAAAGACCGCAGGCCAATCGGTCCAGCGGTTGCTGAGATATAAGCCTCTCAAAGGCGTTACAGGCCGGGCCGGGCCGCTCATACTGATATTTTTCCGTTATATTGAAAAGACTTCGCTTCGCTCGCTGCGCTCGCTCGCTCGTAATAATTGATTAGCGTGACAGATTTTCTCTCCCCGAAGGCCTTCGAGATATGGATTGATTGTTACGGATCCTCGGCAGGTTTGCGAGTCTAATGGCGAACCGTGGCGTAGCTAATCGGTACCGATTGACGCATAATTCGTTGTTTCGGGTGGGGGTGGGGGGACAAAGCAACGCGCCTCGGTGTCGCCGGCCGTCGGGTCGGGTGGGCGGTGTGCTAACTGCTAGGTCTGGTTGGCGGCTCGTGCGCGGGCGGGCAGTTGAGGGAGTGGGATGCCGTGTTTCGGGCGAGTAAACCGCGATATCAGCCGGCAGCATGGACGAAAGCCGTCAACTTTCGGTGTTACTGCCCACTGCGAAATATGCTTGCCTGCTAAACAGGCGGAGGATGCTCTTTGTGTTGGTGTGTTTCGGTACATTGATTCTATGAAATAAACAGCGTCCGCGGAAAAAGGTCCCGGTCGCTGTATCTTGTAACAGCGAGCAAGTTCGTTTTTTTTCCCGCGAGGCTCTTAGCACAATAAGGGGAGAAATGGTGAGCGGGGTTCCACCAACCCTAATCTACCTAACCGATAGCTCCAACCATCGGCCGCAGCGGATGTAGAAAACCCGGGTCTGGCGAGGGTTGAAAAAGCTTATCAATTGTTTGACGTTGGCATTTTACCTTTATTAGTTCATGGCGCTGAGCCAATTGGCAATTTGTTCAGTAATGTCTGAATCGAAATATAATTTGGGTGACCTCTGGTGATCAATCTTTGGCCTGACCTTTAAGTACCCGACCCTAAGAAAAGACTTCCCTAACGCAAAAGAGAGCAATAAATACTAAATTATATGGAAAATTCAATATATTTTGCTGTGCTCACGAAGACCCTAGTCCCTAAAGTTATATACAGGGTGTTTCACTAAAAGTGTCAAAAAGTAAAAGGCCCTAATGCACATAATAACTATGTTTTCTATGGACATTTGCACATCATTCCATCCGCAATTGTTGGACATTTGAATATATAAAAATGATATCACCGTCACTCAAACCTATTCCACATATCCGCCGCTTCTTTTGATGCACCGTTTCGGCACGTGTCCGGAGGTGCCTCACAGCCCGTTTTCATCTTCAGCGTCCAGACTGTCGGCAAAGCCTTGCATTGTGCTCTTCAGCTCCAAAAGTGATGCGACTTTAGTCTTCCTCAGCTCTGCGAGAGCTACTGACCAAAACCAGAAGGCTAGCGGTGACAGATCGGGGCCTCGCGCTGGCAAGGGGCGGGCGGTGAGGCAGCTGATTATTCGGCCCGGGAACGGAACTTCTGGTCCAGCCAGTTCTTGGTGGCTACAGCCGTTACAGTGGTTGTTTCTGATAAATTGGGGGCTTGGCTATTTCTGATGTTGAAATAAGCTTCTTGTTATCTTAAAAGGTCCTAAAAAAGACCCTGACCTTTTCAACGATTTCCGCCGAGAGGTGGGGCGACCCGCCTTTTTTTGACTGGAACCGGCATCAAAGGAACCCTTTTAAACCTCTCAAGAAGCCCTTTGAAACTTTTATAATCTGGGTCGTAGCGAGGTGAGAGAGTGAAACGTTTCCTGAAAAGTCGGCGTACGGTTTCAATGTTTCTGATAGCACCAAATGTAAGTGTAATCCACCGCTCCTGTTGCGGTGCAAATAACCTGTTCTTGTTCTGTATAAGGAAAAAACGACTAGTAACTTTGGCCTCCTGCCCTCGCTCCGTATGAGTGTAAAATATATCGTAAGTGGCCAAAGCATAAATGTCCAAAAATTTGCAACAAAGCCACGTGCGCAACCACGTGCTTTGCGTATTTTATATATCCTTAATAAGCATTTACTTTTTGACACTTTTAGTGAAACACCCTGTAGGTACCTAACTAGCACTGTTTACGCTCTTTCGAGTACCGCTTGGAGCTTACCGAGGATCGTCAATTGTAAGCCACTTCCTCGCATAAGGGTATTTTTTAAAGTAAAAACCATCGATAAGTTGTCCATCTTCCCCCTAGAAAACGCATGGCTGTAAGTTACAACCTCCCTTGCATTCACTAACCGACTGATTTTGACATTGGCCCAGCACTAAAGAAACTCATATGATGTTTATATGAGAACTGAGATCTGCAACGTACATTCCTGAGACATAGGTACCAGGCCGATTACCAACACAAACAATATCCCTGCAATCTGCATTGCATCAGCTATATCATCTAGCCCAGCATATTTACACTGAGCACACAAACTCCCTGCCCAACGACCACTCACCTCCAATGTGTGCAGATTCCGCGGTCCTCGCGTGCCACCAACACTGCACTGACACCGCTCTGCGACTGACGGACTGTGACTGACGGAGTGGCCAGCGGCGGACTGACCGGGCAACTGCGGCCGACGGCGCCGTGCTCTACGCCGTGCTGTGCGCTGTGCCCCGCCGTGCTCCGCGCCGTGCTCAGGCCGTACCGGTCGTGCTCTGCGCCGTATCAGCGACTGCCAGCCGCCGATGAGCAGCTATCGGCGGCCAGTGTCGCCCTCCGTCGTCGGCCCCCGCCGCGCCAGTCGGGCCCGCATCTGGCCCGTCGGTTGTCCCCCCCACCCAGTCCCCGCCCCGAGGCTGGTCGATCACGGTGGGGAGGAGGGGGGGGGCGTGAGGGGTGCTGGGGCCAGAGGGTGAGCGGTGGAGAGAAACCAAAAACAGTCGGCTGTTTGGGTCATTTCTGCTGGCCTCGGACCTTCTAAAATATACGTGTGTGTTCTTTTCTTTTAGGGCGGCTCGTTGTTATTCTGAGCCCCGTCATCAGGTTTACGTTTATTAACCCGCGCCCGGCTGGGGGTCCTGGATTTCCACGCCCTGCTGGGGGGGGGGGGTGTTTGAACACCCCCCCCTTCTAACTCGGCTCCTGGGCCACGTAGCGATACGCAGAAGGCGGCGTTCGAAAGAGCGTCAAAAATAATGAGGAAATCACTACGGTCAATTTTTTGGTCAGGTCAAAGGTCAGGTCACCAGAGGTCATTGAAGGCAAAATTTCGCCGATTTCCAGGTCGAATGTCGACAATTTCCAAGAAGCCAACGCATAACTCGGGAACCAATAGAGCTACAGCGCCGCGGAAAAGCGCATTAGATAGCCCTATTAACGCCCTTTCTGAGTAATTCTCTCAGATTTGACCTTACGTCAACGGTTTTGCCTGCAGGGGGCAAAAACTGCAAAAATAGCCGATTTTTTCGGAAACAGTTTTTCTGCAATAACTTTTGACCCAAGCCTTGTACGAGCTTACTTTTACCGGCATCGTGTTCCTCTCGTCAAGACGCATCGAATGAACTATAACTTGACCTTGAAAGGTCAACTTAAAAATTTGACCTCAGGTCAAGGTCATGACCTGACCGGAAAGGGTCATGTTGCATATCAGTCGATCCGTATCGTCGAGCTGAACACATCTAAGGCGTTTTCATCGCTCTAGCATGCCTCTTACAAAAGTTATTTGCGAAAAACTGTTAGATACCATTCCTGACCTAAGATGACCTCAGGGCATAAACAGGGGTCACGGACACCATTTTCATGTTCAGTGTGTCTAAACCACTTGTAATTCAGTGTTTGGGAGTGTTTATAATGTCTTTCGACCAAAGGAGGCGCATTTCAATTTTCTCCCATTGACTTATAATGGGGAGGTCGCAAAATTGACCTGACCTTAGGTCATCGATATCAAAATTCTGAGATATACATTTTGTACATGCTATTGCTCTTAGCAATCGCTGAAAGTTTCAAAGCGATCGGTCACTCGGTGTAGCTATGACAGACATTGAAACTTTTTATGAGGTGAGGTCACTTCAAGTGACCTGGTGACCTGACCTTGAATGACCTTGGTCTGAAATTTTCACAACATGTGTAGAATTGATGTATGATAAGGTGTACCAAAAACGGCGGCGCTCCGCGCCGCCGTTTTTGAGATATTCGCGAAAAACCACAAGGGGGGGTGTTCAAACACCCCCCCCCCCAGCAGGGCGCGGGTTAATGGGTCTTGGCCCCATTGGTACGGCCCTCCAGCAAAAGAGTGGTTGGTTAGCCTATGTGCTTTTGGTGCAATAACTTTGAATGACAGAGACACTCCTGTAAAATGACTCAATAGAAATGAGAAGAGGGTTCGTGCACACACTTCCGCAGTGGTTTTCAACAGCCATTAGACGTATTCATCAATGCAGATCGCTTATTGTGATGATGGCAACCAACCACTTAATACCTGGAGGGCCGTACATTCGAGCAGAGCAGGCCCAGGCGGTTTAATTTAGGGCAAAGTCTTTACATAATTTCCATTCCCTGTGAAAAACCGAATCCAGTCTTACCTACCTTCTCATAACAGATACTAAGCTACTATAAACTTCGTCACATCCGACACCTGTGATATCCCACGATGCTCACATATATTCCATGTTGGAACCATCAACACAGCACAGAGCACATCCCTGCCCTAATCCCTGCATTGGGCTGTCAGTATCCAAGTGGCTTGATGTTTATCTTGGCGTCCGAATGCGACCTTTTTACCCAGAGATATGGCCGTCCTGATGTGCCACGGGCCACCAATCAAAGGTCAGAGGCGCGGCCGTCTCAGCTGTGGCTAATACACGCGGTCGCTGCGTTAATTGTTACCAAGGAGATAATCGATACTCGATCGTATCGCTCTCCTTAGTTCTGTACACAACAAATTATCATCGAACATTAAATGACGACCACTACTGATCTATCTGCGACAACTGTCCAATGTGACGATCTTTGAAATTCCCGTCTTGAGTCAAGACGGAGGTTCACACTCTTCTAGCAGCGGGCGGGCCTCCCCTCACTGGGTTAGTGTGGCTCTGAACACTCGGCTGGGTTCACTGACACGACGCAGAGAGAGTGTTCGTCCGCTGGCCGTCTCTCGAGGCGCACAGACACACAGACAGACACACAGACAGACGGGCGGGCGCGGCGGCTGGGACGGGTGGTTAGAGTGGGGCGAATGGCCGGCCTTGTGAGGCCCACAAGAGGTGGAGGTTGTTTCACTCGACAGCCCAGAATGGTTGGTGCACGATGAGCTCGTAGTTAGTCTAAGGCGATAGCGATAAGGCAACATTTACGCCGAGAGAAGTGAAGGGTGTGCCTACTGTAACGAACGAAAGCCGGAAGATTCAGTCGCACAATGCAACGACAGAACCAAAGATAAAAGAAACCAGTTCAAGTCAGACAAGTTTCAGATGGAGTGCACATATCAGGACTCATCTGTAGCTACATCTAAAATTAGCAAGGATAGTCGGCATTCTGCCTGCAGAAAGACAGCCTTGTGATGTTTCTGATCTTTTATGGACGCCCTAACCCAATCATGAAGGAAACAGATGTTCCAGATGAGATGGGCTGATCATTTGCATGAGTTCATAATTATTTACAGCACCACGTCAGGTAATTGCAGCTCGAAGGAATATGCTATTCCGAGCCAAAACTGCATTCAGTCGCTCAAATATCTCAAATAAATGATGCACCGCCACGGAAACGGTAGGGGTTAGAATCTATTCTTGCATTCTGACCGGCGTCTTTTCAATATAACGGAAAAATCTCAGTATGAGCGGTCCGGCCCGGCCCGGCCCGGCCTGTAACGCTTTTGAGAGGCTTATATCTCAGCAACCGCTGAACCGATTGGCCTGCGGTCTTTTTTGCTGGGTAGCCCCATCCCTTCTATCCCGTAATTGACTACTTTTGATATATCTCAGTGCCCGTCGGCGCACGTGCCACGTGAAAAGTCAAGTTCAAGCTGTTTTGCAAAAGTAGTGATTTTGAGAGGCTCATATCTCAGCAGCCGCTTGGGCGATTGACTTGCGGTAATTTTTGTAGGGTAGCATAGCAGCATCCCTTCTACCCAAAATAGGATAATCTCGATGCATGTGGGTCACCCCCAGTGCACGTGCAAAATACAACAATAAGAGGTGCCAAATTTGTTCCCATTTCAGTAACTCGGTAATTACTGGGGCGATTTCGCTGAAACTTGGCATACAGGTAGGCACCCACCAGGCGATACATTCCCATGTGTTGCGGTTAGGGTGCTACTGCACGTGCGCACGTGAAGGGGGCGTTTCCAGATCTCGAGAACGGCTGGGCCGATTGCGCTCAAATTTGGTACACGGTTGGGGACCAGTTAGAAGGGTGCCGTGCAAAAGTCATTTTGGACCCCGTTTGCACGTGCGCACGTGCAGAATGCCGCTTCAAGATCTCAGGAACGGCTGGGCCGATTGCGTTCAAATTTGGCACACCGCTAGCGACCGGTTAGAAGGGTGCTTTGCGCAAGCCCGTTGGAAGCACCCTCTCGCCCTTCCGCACGTGCAGGGCTCACTATCTCGCTCGCTCGTTCTTCGCCCAAAAGGCGTTTTACTGGTTTTTAACATTGGCCATTACCCCGGAAGCAATTCTAAGGCCAAGTTTCATAGATAGTTAGGGATCGGTCATAAAATACGACCTTCAATTAAGTGTTAGGTATGCATTGCAAAATATCTTATCGTCGTCATTCACGTACTAAACTTAACACAAACTACCACCTTCTTCAACTCAGACGCTGAAACTTATTGAACAAGCGATCTCTCTCCCAGCCAGCATATTTGATCTGGGCCGTAGCTGGTTTTCCTCCCGCTAGCTCCTGGCTCCTGGCTCCTGGCTAGCGTTTGTTCCGGCCAAAGTACGGGCAAGGTCTGGGGCTCTAGGTACGGGAGCTGAGTCGCTGACACACGATCCCTGACCTCGCCCGCACCACAGCCGGACTTAAGCCGTATCAGCCGTGCCGTACCATAACCGTACGTCAGCCACAGTAAGCCAGAGCGGCTAGGAGGGAGCCTGACCTGGCCGTAGCACGTCGTGGCAGGGAGCCGGACTTGAGCTGGACTTGGCGGTCCGAAACCATACCAATTCCGGAGAGCTACGACAAAGACTGGCTAACCGCCATAGAGTCATATCGTCCCAAACCCCGGCTCTGACGGCGTTCCGTTTACACCGGCCCAACTTTGGCATGTCGGAGTTGCCGGGGCAAAGCGGACTTGAGCCAAACCAAATTGCTGGCTTGGCTGTCACGTTTGAGAACCGCCTTCCCGGGGCCCGTCGATACGACACTGCACCTGAAGCGCCCCCTCACGTATGCTGTAGGTTTCGACTTTGTCCACCAGACGTCGCTGCCAAACTCGCCACAGCCATATGTGCGGGTGTTGCAGCGTTGTTCCGATATTTCCATCACCTGACATTGCCTATAGCAGATGCGTTAGGGAGAAGAACGCCATTCAATCAAAGCGGCCTATTACAGCGGATTCATATACCATGACTTCAGAAGTACAGCCCTGTCAAGTGTCAATCGACCCTGGATTTGACCTCCGGTGTGACGGGGTCAGATAGTTCAGAGAGATCGATGAAACTTACGGCGGCATGGTAGTCTATGCATCGAAAGGGGCCTCAACAAACGCTCAGCTCTGCCTGAAATTGTCCCAATAAGCCACAAAGGTCTCACCAAACGAACAAAGAAGCAAGGCCCCGTCAACGCGCGATCGAAAATACCCCTTTTCGCGTTGCGG